ACTCAGAGTTAAACCTTGTACTGAAAGAAAAAGGTCCAGAATCTTTCACATAATCTCCATCTTTGTTTTGTTATCCTTGTTTTCTTCTTCAAGGCTGTTGTGGATATTCATTATAATTTTATCTATTTCATATGGAAATATTCCCTTATGGAGAGGTAAGGGAGTAAATAAAAGGGTGTGCAGGATTATTTGTCTTTAATTTGTAACCCCAAGAATTAATGAATTTGCTTAACCCAATTACTGCTTCCTCCTATTGAGTTTACTTCATCATAAACCAAGGCGTCTGAATACTGTTCTTTGTGTTGCCACCTTTATTGTTTGCAGCCCTCCAAGGCACAAAGGGGTTTATCTCTTTGAGTTCCCTGGAGCTTTATGAAGTTGCCAGAATCACTGTCTTAGGATCACCCCCAGGTGAGTAATTATAAGGATGTTTACTGTGTGTTAATGACCTGCCTACCAGTAATAACCTTTGAGTTCATGGCTCTTTGATAAACGTGAAGCTGAGTCCTCTGAGAATTGCCCAGTCCACTGCTATTGGGCAATGGTAATACAAGTTGAAGACCAATGTGCAGGAATTAGATAAAGCCAACAAATGATAGATTAGCTTGCCTTTCACTCAGTTCTCTGTATCAGCCCTTCCTATGGTTAGATGCATGAGTTGGTATTCCCAGTTCCTGCACAGTTTGGAGCCTGTGCCCTTCTCACCACCCTGCCCAGCCTTCTGCTCGCCCACATGAGTGTGACTGCTGCAGCTTCACCACTACTAATGACTGGGGTTCTCTAGTCAACGGACTTCCACTTCCCACTGTAGATGACCTGTCTCAATTCCTCCCTTCTCTCCTTACTCAGCTTAGATCCCATGGTTCTTCCCTGTGATCATTCTCCTGAAGCTTGCTCCCTCCACTGGGCCACCTGGCAAAGATCTAGCCCCTAGTTAAACCTCATTCTCTTGTATGTTGAGTTTATGTCAAAAAGCTGAGCATTCCTGAACCAACCAACCAGCCTTAACTACACTGACTGAATTCATATACACAAATCTCAAATGGATGTTAAATACTTCCTAGGAGAAAACTTCCTACTAAAAGAGACTCTCTCACACACATTATCCTCAAACTGCCTATACTCCCTTTCCTTCCCTCCCTCTTAGCTGGTAATCTTGTCTCCACTGGCCAAAATAGAAGTAATCACAAGGAATGCCCTCATGGTCCAGCCACTGAATCCATCAAATCTGGGAACCTCTCAGTGCCCCAGTAGGAGCAGCATTCCTGTGGATAGTGGTCCTAATCCTCTGTCAGGGCAACTCTCTCCTGGGCATTGTATCTCATCCCCTCCTGTTCCCTCTGTCATCTGTTGGAGCTGATTTTATTTTATTTTATTATTATTATTATTTTTTTTTTGGCAGTTTTTGGCTGGGGCTGGGTTTGAACCCGCCACCTCCAGCATATGGGGCCAGTGTCCTACTCCTTTGAGCCACAGGCACTGCACTGGAGCTGATTTTTAAACAGTAAGTAACTCTGTGCTCTGGAAGGCAAGTCTTTCTCCAGAGCCTAATGTGTAACAGAGGTAAAGGTCTGAAAAAGGGCAATGAAATGAAAGAGGGCAATGAATTTATGAGTTGTCTCTTTAAGACCTCATACCCTTTGGTGGAATTAAAACCAATACTCCTGCTCAAGGCCAGTAATCACAGAGGCAGAAAAGTGTTCTTTGCTGTTTGTTTTCTATCATCTTAAGCCACAGGAGATGGTTCAACAGAACTTTCCGGACAAGATCATATAGACTTGAGCCCAAGCACCAATCCCCAACCTCCACCTTTAAAAATCCCTGTATTTCTACTTGAAGTCAGGATGGTGATCTTTGAGACTGTAGTCCAGTGCCCTCTTCATTTGCTGGCACAATAATAAACTTCTCTTT